CATGTTAAATTAAAGAAGCCACCCTGAAAATTCCACCATGAAGCATGTGGAGAAGAGACTAGAAAAGAATCCTTCTCTATCAGTTAAAAAGAAGCCTCTGTTAGATGGTTGGAGGCAATCGCCAGGAAACCCTACCTGACCTAGGTTTTGTGCTAGTTGGCACTCACCAGTCAACAAGGCGTATCTGCAGTCACCTCGAACGAACTCATGTCCTTTCTGAGGTTCTGACCTCCGTCTCCCAGTGCTGCCCACAGTCAAAGATGTTAACAGTGAGCTTTTCGAACTGGCGAGTGACTTCCTTCCTGTAGGACTATACTGGATATTTTTGATTGGACACTAGCCAGTAACTAGTGTAATGTGTATCTCTAGTCCTATCTTTGGTGCAGACTGAATTCTATCTGTCAGTGAAGTTTGCAATGTGGCCACCATTGTAGGTAGCTCGCCATCATGATGCACATTGATTTGATGATATTAGATAGTTGGAGGCAATTGACAGGGAGTCTTGCGTGATCTAGGTTTCGTGCACTTGTCAGCAAGGCATACCTGCAGCAAAGAAAGGACTAGACACGTCACATCCGTCACTAGTGTCCAATCAAAATACCCACTACAGTCCTACAGGAGGTCAGATGTGAGTCCACATTGCTCAGTGGTAGCGTCCCGGGGTTCGAATCTCAGAAGGGACATGGGTTCCTTCAAGGTGGTTACAGATACGCCTTGCTGATGATTACCAGCTAACAAGAAACCTAGGTCACGCAACGCTTCCTTCCAATTGCCTCCAACTATCTAATATCATCAAAGGGATGTTCTTTGTTCACTTTTCATGTCAGTTGTTTTCAAATTATCTCCAACCTACTATTAGAATTTAATATACACATAGAGCACTCAGCATCAACAACAAAATTCGGATTTTCAGTACAAACGTCAAGTCAGTCAGTTCTTCTATACGGATCAGACACTTGGCAGGTCACCAAGAATATTTCCAACAGCCTGTTGCACACCTTTATCAACAGCTGTCTTCGCTCTATACTGAATATCAGATGGCCGGAAAGAACAATAACCAACAAGAAACTATGGGAGCAAACAAAATAAGAACCAATCGCCCAGCAAATATGCAGGAGAAAGTGGAGATGGATTGGACACTCGCTGAGGAGGCCGCTGGGTGACATCGTGCGTCAGGCCATTGCTCGAGTGGAAACCGAAAGGGAAGTGGCGAGTGGGACGTTCAAGGTTGATATGGAGAAGATTGTGTGAAGAGGAGTTGTAACAGTATGGACTAACATGGATGCAAGTAAAAAGTACAGCAGAAGACAGAAGCAAGTGGAGACGTGTATTTGAAGCCCTATGTTCCACTAGGAACACAAGGGAACAATAATGGCAATAATAATAAATAGAGCACTAAATAATGCCTATAACATAATGGCTTTAGCTATGCAAGTATTTAAATTTGTCAGTGTTAAATCACGGTCGGATAATTTTTACTCTCTATTGCAAATTTATGAGCAAAATTAATTCCATTTTATTTTGAAATAACAACAACTAAAAAAACTATTTTTAAAATTTAACTAATAAATTATAATATTAATTAAATTATTGGTATAGTTAGCGGTTTTAATTTTCAGTCGGAATTGAAATCGAGTTAATATTAATAATAATAATAATTTACTTTATTCCAAAACAGTACCTATGATACAGCATGGGAGTCTAAGCATTTGTTGCAATATTACTGCATGCATCTACGGATAAAATTTAGGTACTGTGGTGGTGGTACAGTATAACTCCATTATGGATAAAATTTTATTTTGATAAAATCACACAGTGTAGTGTTATACAGTAAGTAATATTTACTGATGACCATGTTTTGAGCACAATTTATGACTGCTCAAGGTCCTCACATAACTTTCTGACTTCATTTATATATTTTTTTAAGTTCCTTCACGTTCCCGGTGGAACAAAGGGCTTCAGGCTAGAGGCTTGAAGTTTCAGTAGGTGTGGGGTTTATTTTTACGAGATGGGGTTGCTAGCCTCATGCCCAACCTTTCCTTTACACCAGTCTTATTACTGCCTTAGCGAGATAAGGAAGTGTGCCGGTCGGGGATTGAACCCTGGACCACATCTATGGTCGGTGAGCATTCTAACGCAGTACCACCGACGCTTTCCAGCTCTCTGAGCTAAGGTCATGTGTAGTATCGCTTCATTTATGTACATGAGTAAATACTGGTGATTAGACATCTGAATAAAATCAATATAAGGTAAAGTAAATTGGGAACGAATATTAGAGTCATCAATAAGATACAATCAGATGGAAATTAAGATGTTTTTATAGTAAAATAAACAAATAACTTGTTAAAATGTTAGTATGTGAATTGAAATACATTTTAACATTATTTATGATCCTTTTCTGATTTGACTAGCCGTAATAATATCTTCCATGAACACCTCTGGTATTTGCATTGAGTCACTCCTATTGCATATGTTGTGTTGGGTGTGGACTCGATGAACTGGGACTGAGTAATCAGTCTCTCTTTATTTCCACCTACCTATATTAATTTTTTAGAATTGCGACTCTATCTCACTCACCCTACTGTGCGGTTATGTGTTAATGCATCTAATTTACTCAACTATACAGCAAGAGCAAAAAATACAAATTATATTACAGGATATACGTAAGAGAGACTAGTAATAGCAGCTTCTTTTTATATCAGCAGTGACAGTAAAGCCAAAAAATTGTACAAAATTTATAAAATGGTGATGATAATAATGTTAGTAACTAAAATTAAATGATCATATAAATAGTGTCACCATGAATTACAAATATGAGAATATAAGAAAGCCCAACTATTTTGTCAACTACATAGTAAGTTGCTATAAGTTTCACGCTTAACAGTGAGTGTCTTTATCACATAGAAGTCGGCAGGGACGACTACGGTATCGCTGAGTTTTTGTACTTTGTTGTGCAAGCGAGCAACCACTAATCTTTTATAGTGACTTCTATTCCTACCTGATGAGATGCAAGTGAGAGGTATGGAGAGTTGTGTGAATAAAGAGGGTACTATGAGAGTTAGAGAATATGGATTTAGACCATTTCTCACAAGAGTTCAGATGTCTGCCGACTATAGACTGCCTGCATAGTTGATGCAGGCTTCACTCCGATTTATTCCTATCCAAACTAACATAAATAAATAAAGTAGCTCTCGGAAGATTTAGTCGTTTTTAGATGACTTGAGGCAATCGCCAGGTTGTCTTCGAACCAGTTTTCTTGCTTGCTTATACTTACCGGTCAGCAAGGTGTATCTGTAACCTTAAAGGGACTAATTTCCCTTCTGAGATTCGAAATTGTGTTATTCAATGCTGCCTGCAGTCGGATGTGATACCATTGAGCTATTCAGACTCATGATTGACCTTCAGCAGGACCGCATTAGATGCTATGGCTGGACACTAAGTAGTAAGTAACTAGCTTCATGCATCCTGCGGTTTTCGCTGGTGCAGACTGAATTCTGTCGTCAGTAAAGTTTTTGCTATGGCTACCATGTTGGGTGGCTTTCCATAACAGCAAATTTTGAGTTGTTGCTATCAGATGGTTGGAGGCAAGTCACTAGACGCATGTCACTAGCTACTTACTCCTTGGTATTCGATTTAAGCAAGAAAAGTTTACATAGTGACAAAAAGCAAGCTGATGGAGTTAAAATGACTTTATTTATTTTAAAACTGCCATTGATTTGTTTTGCATAAGTTTATGCCTGTTTAGCTGATTATTATTTAAAATAAGAGTCAAATACCGTAATGCCTATACAAATGTTCAAAATATGAGAATCCTTAAGGATTAAGACTGTCCTAAATTTCCTTCAGATACAGTATTACAAGATTCTTACGACCCCTAATGAAAGAAATAATAAATGCCAATTCTACAGTTCAACTTAGCAATCATGCACACTGTTGCGACAACAACCGCATACACGCCGTCATAACAATGTTAGCAGCAGCCTTTAGCCATGGTAGAAAATTTCGAAACGTAAAACTAGCATTATTAAAGTAATTACTGAAAACATTTAAACAAAAAGAGTGGCTACAGTCGAAAAAACATGATGACCAGCATTTGAAACTATTTCAAATAAGTCTGAGAATCAATGGACTCCGATTTTGCAAAAACAGGTTATACACTTTCCACCTAACTCTGCAGTTCCTCATCAGGTAAAAACTCCAAATCGCTTCAAAAAGCCTGTTTTAAACTTCATTGGATATGTGTAGTTATAAGGTTAGTAAATGAGTGTCCTTCGATGATGCAGTCATATTGTATAGTTATCCGAAGAAAGTGTGTTGACAGGAACATGAAAGCGCTAGCTCCAGTGAGAATAATCACAGTTATAATTTATGAGCTTTGCACTTATAAATTTAAGGAAAATAAAGTATGATATATGAAAACTGGATAATGGATATGCTTTTACTCATAAGTCGCTTAGCTTGTCAATGATTTGATACTCATATTTCAAACTGGCCAAATAATTCTTAAGAAAAGTTAGTTTCCTAACCGTGTTTCGTAAGTACAGTATGAAGTTCTTCCTTTCCAGCTATCTAGATAGCAATACAGTTTTACGCTATTCTGTTATTTTTAGACAGACGATGTTTTATTATCACTTAACCAATCCTTCTAGCTGTCTGTCTCCCCACAAAACAAAAAGTTAATATTTCATGATAGTTCTATGGCGTAACGAAACGAATAATCAAAGCATAAAGTGTCTAATGGTACAACCCCTTCGAATACTACAAGGACGAGTTTTTCCACAAATTGATGTTCCTGCTTAGCAAAAGCTGGGTACAGTAAAATAAACAGTTAAATTCTAGAAAAACACCTTAAATGTGGATAAAGCACAAAAGAATCACCGAAAATGGTTTAATAAGTAAAAAAGATGTTGGCCTTCATTAAACTCTCATCATTATATAATAAATTATTAACCAAATAGAGAAAACAGCACGACGGTGAAAAAAAATTCAAACTGACTTACATGCATTAAGGAGGAAGTGGACTTTTGAAATCTTAAAAGAGCCATTTCTGCTAATTCTCTGATTAGAATGCTTCCATTTCCACATGGAACAACCACTTTAACATCATTAATGCAAACAGTGACTTTCATTTTCTGTGAGAATTTAATGTGTATTTATGTTCATAATCGCACATATTTCAAATAAAAGGAATCCCTGATATGTTTGAGCAGGATTTCATTTCGAAATCACGTTTTTAATGCATGCAAGTTCATTTTAGAATTATTACACTTCAATTTATAAGTTAGTCTTTCAGTTACATATTGGACAACAATAAAATGCTGATGCTATTTTCGTTCTTTACTATTTTATGATTATTTTATTATTATTTATTTTATTATTCCTCAAATTATGCGAAAAGTAAATATGCATTTATAAGCAACGGTAATAAGCAACGGCCTAAAGAGTCCAACGATGAAACATTCATTTGATGCATTAAAACAAATTAAAGAAAAGCTCCATTAGGACGTGCCGCTAACGCACAAACACCACACCTCTGCCAAAACATGAACTGACTTCTTTGGAAACCAAAATTTCATTTATCAGCTGTGTTTTGTCTTCAAAGTAAAAAAGGTAGTTAAACACTTCTCAACTGCTTTTCCAAATGTTTGGTTCAGCAGAATATCGTAAATAAAATGTCCAGGTGCCTGGAATTTTCGCCAAGAGGTTACCCTTTGGAACCTCATGTGTGGAGATATGTACCTGTCAATTGTAAATTAGATAAGAGAGCGATTCCACGGGGTATTAATTAGCATCACAGTCGCTTAAGTCAATAGCCAAAATGATCGATGTCCCAGGAAATTTGTGTGACATCTCCTTCTTAGAACGGTAATACACAAACTTTCCCCAAAATGTCCCCACAATATCACTTTATAGTTGTTTTGAACGGACTCCTAAACTACATTGGGAAAAAAGGAGGTTTAAATATGACTTAAGTCACCTTGAGTTTGTACGTCATGCAAGTCAGAGTTTTTCCCTCTATATGGTGTGCACTCATTGTTTAGATGGAGAGAATACCCGAAAATTGGCTCTTAACTACAAATATCTCTCCGACGAGCTTTAATAAACTTTGTGATTCCGTGTTGTTTCAAACAGCACTCAATCTGGAGGATTCTGGTATACAGAACCTGTTCAGTAGAGTGCTGTATCTCTGCTGTATGCATTTGGAGGGAGTACTTTTATTTATATCGCAGAAAATATATGGCTTACACCAGGACAGTCTCGCTTGGATGAAAGCTTTCCTCTGGAAATGGAATTCAACTTAGGATTACATCTATTTTATCGGCGATCACTTTTAATGTGATATTGTCTATGAAGACCTTTCGTAGGTCTTACAGTCGGGACACTGCTGGATCTAGTTACGGCACTAGGTAATGGACGTTTTCTCATCTGTATGATGAGGACTATTTATGCACACAGTAAAGTCACACTTGTTCTGTGGAGTCATCGTCATACATATGGAGAGGGAATATAACGTCAGGTTACTATGGAAGCTGAGAAACTACGTCAAAAGTTTTGACAGAAAAGCAAAAAAGAGGAAACCTATGGAATCAACAAAAGCAAACCCCAAAGGCATTATTGGCTACCATGCCAACTTAGTCAGCTTTCAGACAGTGAATCAGAAATAAACATCTGGGTTCCTTTTAGTTTTATTCTTTACTAGACTGACCTCCCCACACAACACAAAATGATTCAGGTTTAGTGCATCACACACTCTATAAAAAGTCTACAGTTGATATGCACCATGTGTAATTGAAGCTATCTTTCACCTGGAATCCAACAAGAAATGAGCAGACCTTCTGGATTTCGTGCGATTTGTATCCAGCCCATCAAGGTGATCAGAAAATTATTTCTTGGCACACCGATGACGCATGTCAAGCAGCCTATACCTTCTTACACAGATATGAGAATGTATTCTGTGGAGCTTGATTATGAGAGCCTCCAGGCTTTTTATTTCTTGCGCCTCCAGTACCCGTGAGTGAAAAGTGGAAACAGGAGTCAAAGTATTTGCCACTGCCTTCATTACCTTGGGGTGACAGCTATTCAGTCGATACACTTGTAGCAATGATTGATTCCCCAAAATGATCAGTCTGCAGCATTCTTCACTCAAGTGGTCTTCACTGTCTCAGCCAACTCATAAGACTTAGGATTTCCTGCCATGTATCGATGCAATTTGGCTTGCTGCCATGCTTTGATGTTTGTCTGATGTCTTGATTTGTCTCTTGTCTAAACGGAAAAAGTACTCTGGTATTTACGGGATAGGAACTCGCCTTTATATATAACATATATCGAGTAGACCCCAGCATCCCTCTATCTTTCAAACACTTACCAACGAACTTGAAAGCTTCCTGGCTGTGTAGGGTTTACTTCCGTTTGATCTTTACATGATCACTGAGCCGAAGATCTAAGGCGAATAGACTGAACTGACTACTTGGCAGTTAACATCATGCAAATAAGGCAAATAAATCACCTCATAAAGTATTTCAGTAGAACTTCCAGCACCATTTTCCGAGAAATTGAAAGTTTCATTCGCCCTGTAGTTAACTTCGATGTCAAAGTTCTGGGTCTTATTCAAAAGAACTCAAAAGCCACACCTTATGTAGTTATGCTAAGTGGAAGCCAGTCCGTTGAAAGTATGATAACTGAAATCCTTGTTAGTACTTTTCAGTCAGTCTCAACAATCTTCCCAAGCTATTTACCCTAATCAATCCTATCATAACCAACAAGTACTTCTCAACCTTGAGTTCATTATTTTGCTACCGAGTATTTCAGACTAAACAGGGTGAATACAGTCACAGCAGAAAATTATGTGTCTCTAGCAAGTAGAATTGTCAAAGGAGACCTTTCATCGAGCCATTTTGTTCCACCACGAGCTCCCAAATTTATAGTTTCCTTTCCGTGGGCCACGTCACAATAAAACAGAGTTGTAAATTTCATCGTCAAGTGTTTTTATGATAACGTGAGCTGGTCGAGAGGAAAAATGAGCTAATTCAGGGACTCACAATCTTTCCTAAATTCCACCTTAGTGCTGACTAAAGAAATGGAGACTATTACCATCAATGACCATAAACTCTTTATACGCGATATGGTTCTGTTTCTGCGAAAAAGGGATAAAAATGTATACCCCCGATCACAAAGGAGGATATGATGAAACATACTTCAGCAGGCGGCTGAGACGGATTCAACCAACGGATTCGAGAATAAGTGGCCCCCAAGCCTCCACGTGGTGCAGTTCCATGGTCGGCAACCATTTATTGGGTGAAGTTTACTGGCCATGTTCATGCAGATTAGAACGCAAGTTGCGACTATTGTGTCGTGGACAGTCCTAAAAACTAGATTGTAAACTATCAGTTATGTGATATCAGGCTCCAGGACCTGAAGTGGAGTCCGAATGTGAGATGGCAAGCTGAACGTGGACATTAAGATCACGTGAGGGGGAGACGAAGGTATACGACGAATCTTGAGGGCAGATAGAAATGGCTGCACAGTCCAGAGAGAAGTATTTATTATTTTATTTTTTTATTTTTGATTACAGCTTGATTCCACACCGTATTTTCAGTACAAGTATGGTATTTTCAGCATGGATATCGGTAGCCCAAATTTCACAGGCCGACCATAGATACTGGGTGTGCGTCGGCAGGGGATCGAACCCCAGACCATGTGTTTGGTCGACAAGAATCCTAACCACTGTGCCACCGACGCACAGAGACGTACTGTTGAAGCCGTATGTTCCATTTGTCCTGTTTGGTGTCATAGCTTGGTTTAGACGTGGATATGATGGAGAACTAGATACAAGTGTCAATCACTTGGTCGATATGGTTAGAACATATGTAGACATACGCTTCACGCTTAGGCATCTACGTGCCCTGGTGCATGTACGTACGACGTTACCACCAGGCGCACATTGTCATCACTTCAATGTTATTTGGGAGAAACGCTAACTTATTTAAGAGATTCATATAATTTCGTCAAGTCGGGTTATCTACTTAGGAAAATGCCATATGACGAAATGTGTCATTCGTCAGATAGTAGACACTCAAATGTGCTACACCTGTCTTCGTCATCTGAAAGCATTACCACCTGTGACCACTGCACCATCGGTTGAAAGTCTTCACTGGAGACCGGGTAATCGTGTGGTGCCATGTGGTCTGTGTATAATAGATAATCTCTCCAATAAAAAGTATGTGCAACCCTGACGCACGCTGCCATATCCGTAGGTTTCAAATGAAATCGTTTCTAGCACCCACAGACTGCTTCTTCACTTAGTCTTCTGTTTACTCTGCCTATTCAGTCATTTAACTGTCTCCAGTATAATTCTTTAAGATTGGTGTATTTGCACTTAGTCTTTACACTGTCATTACTATCTCTCTTGTCGACCACGACCGTTAGGTGAAAGGGTTAGCCGTGACAGCAGCGTTGTCACGATTTTAAAATGTGGCAATATACACGTTGAATAAGGCCAGTTTTCGATTTAGCCAATTCTCGGGCGACCCATTCAGAAGTCACCCAAGCTAAAGTAGCGTTACCTCTCTGAGAAGCAACTAGTCTGGAGAAACAAATCTGATTTATAATAGCTCGCAAAAATGACGCTGATCTTCCTTCTATTCACAATTAAGTAGGAACTTGACTTCACTACTCCGGACGAAGCAGAGCAAACTGGCCTTGACTCGAATCAACTAAACCATGTCCGCACTGACAGGACATCATTAACCCTAACCTTTTGCCTCCAGTCCATTAGATATCCCTTTGACCACTTATACAGGGACTGCTCTAATCCAAAATCTTTTGGTCTACTTAAGAGACCCGAGTGTTACGTTATATCGATGTCTAATAAGCTACGTCCAGCAGCAGGTTTTTATCCCTGCCGTTTCACCGTCAATGGTCCATGTTTCTCCATATAGACTGATGGCCGACCCTTTGTAACTGTTTCTAATATCTTTGCTGTAATACATACCAGAATTACTGGCAGGTAATTAGATGCTGATAGGGTGTTCCTCTCTTTGGAGGTGGGTTTGCGACTGACTCCTTCCAGTCCCTGGGTAGCCAAGCCTGAACCGGAGATATTTTGAAAATTTCTGTAAGTGAAATGTATATTATATCCACCGACGAGACTAACAGTGAAGGTTTAAGTCCTCAGGACCTGGCAATTTACCTAGGTCCAATTTAGGTGGTAGTTTAAGAACTACTGCGCAATCTACCATAGTTAAGGAGGTTTCAGAGCCAATGGCAGGATTGACTGAGAATACTTGAGACAACACTATGTGCAGACCTAGTGGTAAGTTATCAAAACTGGATTATATCCTAACTAATTACTAGTCATTAGTGGAAGAAGTTCAGATGGTGATCCCTTCAGGTAGCATTGGCCCTACGGTTATACTGTTTGGTCTCGTTCTTGGTGAATGATTACAGTAACATTCTGCGTGACCCTGTCTGTGTTACAGCGAAGTCGAGCATGCCAAAATGCGGACTTTTGTTTGACGCAGAATAGTCCACAGACTGGGCCAAATTATCTGTAGGGGAAGTGCCTGCGAAGTGATAAAGGGAACTATTCACACAGTAATCTCAGATACCATCCCTCCAGCCACTCTGCAACCTAAGAAACAACCCCCACCGCTGAAGAGAGGCACGCAGCGTATTCTGCTAGCAAAGCGGAAAGTTTGGTCTTCCTTGAGACTCTTCAAGAGTCAGATTGACCACGAGTCATATCTAGAACTTATAGACCTACGTAACGGAAAAGTCAGGAGTGACAGGAGGTCATTCCAGGCAAATCTTACCAGAAATCTTTCGTCAAACCGCATAAGTCTGTGCTGATTCATGTCAGAGAGTAAACCTACTAACAAGGTGGCATGTGCCACAGTAGGTCTAAATGGTCGATATCTCACTGGTAATGGCTGAAGCACTCAGCCCAGTCTTTGACAGACAGCTAAACAGCAATATGGGTATTTCCAGTACGGGCTGTTGCTATTTCAACAAGAGGAAACCCAGCGCATACGCTCCTGATAAATCAGGCAATGGTACTAGAGAGGTTGCAGAACTCAAATCTAGGAAGTTCATGGGTTGTGACGACGAAGCTCTCTACAGGCCATTTTGTAATCCATTCCAACACTCACTGGATTTGGGAAGCTGCCAAGAAAGTGCAAGAGCATCATCCTTCCTCCTATCTCCAGGGGGTTAAATGCCACCAGTTGTATACGAGTAGCGCTAATACCAGTGGTATCAGAAGTACTAGAATGTCCGATTGATGATCCCATCAGGTGACACCTTAACAGGACTAGCATACTCCACAGAGTGCGAGATGGTTTCAGGAGAGCCAGATCCTGTGTGACAGACTCACTATCACCTTGGGATTATTTGACATCAGGCTGGGATATGAATGTTACAGTTCATGTGACCTTCCATGACTTTGAAAAGTTATCCGGTACAGTTCACCATGAACTCCTCATACATGAAATAAGTCAGGCGTTTGCTAGTGGCGCGCTCCTGTTGTGGTTAGAGGACTACCTAGATGGAAGGAAACTCTGCATCAAGATCAACTGTATCCAATCATTCTGACACAGTTTGGTGTCAAGAGAATTGTATGATCTTATTATTGATGCTTCGGACTTTCATCAGTGACCTGGCATGCCGTCTAAACCATCTGGCTCTTCTTAACGCTGGCAATGTGAGAATTTTAGGACAATAAAGTGCTCGGAAGACTCCGGTAGGCTACAGGCAGACCTAAAAATTCTGTAAGACTGGATAATAGTCAGTGGTATGGCTTACAACCCGAAAAGGTGCGCAGTGGTGGAATTGCTTATCCGTAGGCTGCAGAATGCAAGTTACACCATTTGCAACCAAAACTTGTCCTGCACAACATTGGAGAGCCGCTTGGGTCTAGTTCTAACGGAAAAATTGACACAGACTTGAATTATACTGGAGATGTAACGAGGGTTATACACTTTAAGCATAGACACTTTGGTGTGTTCAACCCTCAGCTGTTTCTGAAGTTTTGCAAACATGTGCCAGACAACACCTTGAATTGTACAGTACTGTTGCTCTCCATTACTTGGAGGAGACAGCAGCCTTTCCTAAAGAGTTCGAAGATTTTGGACAAAACGTTTGATGTTTCCCCGAAAAAGAAACCATATGATGAACGGCTAAAGAAATTAGGCGTTATCACACTTAGCTACTGTCGGCTGATACGTGACTTAGCTACCACCTGTAGGATTACAAATGACCAGAATTATCCAAATAAAGACATTCTTCCATTAGGTACTTGTGGACTTCCTCATGGCAATCCACGAATAATAGGCGACCAGAGAGCAGAGATTCCAGTTGTGGTGAGAGCTGTCTACTAGCCAAATTGGTAGACAGTAATTTACGTCAATATTTACGTTCCCAAGTTTTGTCGTGAGAAAATGTGAACAAAGATTGATTCAAACCCGACCACAGCATACTTTGCGTAGGTGGATGCAGCTAACATATAGAGGATTTGACATTCAAGAAACAGTCACAAATAGATGAAAGATTAACTTTACGTGAGAAACAACCAATCGGAAGACTGTGTTTGTTTGCTTAAATATCCATAGTAATGTACGTGAAAATATATAAATATGCGTTGATTTCCTTAATAAATGATCTGTTGCATGACTCTTGCCTTCTGTCGTTACACAGTGAGCTCAATTTTCTGTCCACTCTGAGTTTGCCGCCCCTGAAGCTCCCTACCAGCAACTGTGCAAGGATCAATTCCATTAACAGTGGCGACATGGTATAAACACATCGTACACTAAAAACCACACAACCAATCCCAGCACCACTCCTTTTGGTGTCAACTAAAGCTACGACAGTCGAGTGGCGGGGCAAACAATGCAGAAGTATATCGAAGACCAGAAACCTCCACCTTTCAATCAAGAAGCGAGCACAAATAAACTGATTTGGCTTACGCTGGCAACGTCGTAAAGCGATACTGCATACTGGATCTCACTAAACCCCTGAATTCTATCACCAGACGTGAATGTATCCCAAAAGTATTCAGAAAGATTTTCCGTCTTCGCTTCATCTGATCCAACCGCTTCTCCAGTTTTGCTTGCCAGTGACGATATGAAACTGCTAATTTTAGTCCTGTGTTTAATACACGAATGCAGTTCAATACCAGGTGTTTTTCTCTATACTACTTTTATCAATCATATAATTAAAAAAGTTACGAATTTCGTGGTGGCCCTAGGAATTTATTTTCGGGTTTATATCAAGTTTACTAATACCTATAAATGATTTATAATAAATGAAATTCTAATATCTCATCCTTGAAGATTATCAAATTTATTTAATCGAACTGTGAAGGTCGTTAACTGGCGTACGTCCTTTTGACCGTCAAGGTCATAACTGGCGTCAACCTTCACATTCCGTCTATGTCTTATGTCTGAAGGTTCGTCTATATTGTCGTGTGGGCCTAAAAGACAATATGGCACACTAGAATCTACAACTACACCTCAAAATGCTCACAAGTTATACACAGTTAAACCTGGAGATACTCTTGTCTCAATTGCAGTTCAAAATGGTACAACAGTAAGTGATATTATTATCATCATTACTTTTGGTAAGGTGCAACGTTTAAGATGGATAAACCGCTTATGGAGTTCTGACATCTCTAACATAACTACACTCAAGATTCCTGTGAAATCTCAATCAGAATCAACCAGTTTTAGTGGAACAAACTCAATAGAGTTGTGTCCTGTCAAGAAAAAAATAGAAACGGAAAATGAAGATGCATTGCAAATAGCTTCCGCCAGTCTTTATTTTAAAGAACTCTCAGAAAGGGTTGAAAAAGCTAAGGAAGATGCTTCTCGTTGTCTAGAGAAAAGCAGGTGTGTTTAAATAACCGTTTTCATTTTGTGTTTATTTATCACTTAATATTTGAGGTATTATTTACTTTCTTAAAAGACTGTTAAGGAGACTTTCTCTGATTAAGTTAAGGGGAATTTTAAGGCATTAGGTAATTTTTTTAATATTCGCATGACTTTATTTCACTGTTATTTTCTTGGCCTAGCGTCCTGCATACTTCATTTTAAATATTAGCCGGTCACAGAATCTCACTCTTCTGTCTCTTAAAAGTCATGTGTGCTTCTATCTTTTTGTGCTGCCGTTACCCTTTTTCGCTAATTCATATTGCATTATGTAAAGTTAGGTCATGTCCATCATCAGTACAATCACTGATGAGAACCCTTGACATCTTACACATCCCATGAAACCTTTTCACCAAAGCAATTAGTTTCACATAATCTTTCGATCAACGTGCTACAAAACTGTCCACCTACATGAGCGGTAATCATAGGTTAAAAAAGGAAGTTGTCTGTGAAGTGTTCTAAGCCTATGGTCCATATGGAATTCGTAAGGGGTTTACCTTGACTAACATAACATGTAAAATTCTCGGTTCAGTATGCTTAGACCAGTCGGTATTTGGGAAGAACGAAGGTGTGAAAAGCAGACAGGCTTTAGACAGGCAGACGGTATACTAATCTCATGCATATCGGGTCTAAAAATTGCCATATCTCGATCTGAAGGTGGCGTTTGGCTGCATCAACTACAAGACTTCACAGTATTTCACCAACTGATTTGACTAGGTTATGCTTTTCAAATGCCAAGATATTACCATCTACCAACAGCAGGGTTTACTAGATAAAGATGAGGTTGGGAAAAGTTATCTATCAGACTACTCCATAAACGCTCTAATCTATGTGTTGTCTATGAATGTGTAGGAGGTAATTGGGTTAAAATTATGGAAATGTTAAGAGATATCATTTTAGGATCATGCAATATGGTGTAAAGTAGTTAACAGATGAAAAGTTTACTTCTAGTGTTCGTTTGATTTTCCTTTCGTATTTCAATACGTCACCATTTATCGAGATTTGAGCGGCTAGATAGCACGATTAGCTTTAAAGAGCGTAGCTTATGACCATTTTTATGAAAATGTTTAAGGCTGTCTTGATACATGGAAAGATAAGTTAATGAAATTAGAGAACAAAGAGTTACCAAGGGATGAGTCACCAGGGTAGCTGAAGCCCAACGACCTGTTCCTTTTGGACACAGGTCAGGTTTCAACCGTTTTAATGCGTTAACCTCAATAAACCGAAGAAGAGGAGTTATTTTGTCTGTTAATTACTTTGAATGATGCCAACGCATTTACTTTTTCCTGCATCTATCAGGTGTTTGATGACTGAAGAGCACAAATTGTTTGGCCCCTTTAACCGGAAGCTCCTTGTTACTTGTTCGAAGAATCCGATGTGAACCTTTCTATTCTTCTAAAATCCTAGGCTCAGTAATCATGCACAGACTAAGCAGAACTCTGGAGGAACAAACGAGGGAAAATCAAGCAGGCTTTAGGCCAGATAGAGGGTGCATAGATCATATCTTCACTCTCCGACGAATCCTAGAACATAGACACACTTTTCGGCGTCCAACAAATGCCATATTTCTTGACTTGAAGGCAGCCTTCGACTCCGTGGATCGAGAGGTTCTATGGCAATGTTTGACTATGAAGGGAGTGCCAAGAAAGTACATTGCACTAATCAAGGCACTCTACTCAAACTCACGTAGCCATGTAAGGGCTTATGGGGAATTGTCATCTGAATTGATAACAACCAGTGGTGTCCGTCAAGGATGTCCACTTTCCCCTTTTCTGTTTAACTTCATCATAGATATGCTAATGGAAGTATCCTTAACTGAACTTAACGACTTAGGAATCGACTTGTTACCAGGGTATAGTCTTATGGACTTCGAATATGCAGACGACATAGTCCTGTCAGGGGAGGACGCTGACAAAATGTAGAGTCTTCTGAACACCTTGAGCTGCAATCTTCGTATGTTTGGCATGCGATTCGCCCCTGTAAAATGTAAGATGCTGCTACAGGACTGGACTACGTCAACTCCTAGCTTAGTGATAGGGAGTGAAGTGATAGAACATGTTGACCACTTCACCTATTTGGGAAGTTGTATCAGCACCAACGGACTGATTGGCGACGAAATCTCAGCACGGATCCAAGAAGCTTGAGCTGCTTTCGCCAACCTACTCCATCTCTGGCGTAGGCGTGACATCCGGCTATCAACCAAGGGACATGTGTACTGCTCAGCAGTTCGCTCCATCCTTCTCAATGGCTCTGAAACATGGCCAATACGAGTTGAAGACATGAAAAGGTTGACTGTTTTTAATCATAGATGTCTACGATCTCTTTCTCACGTTAGGTGGTATAAGAAGGTAAGTAAGACAATAGGTGGGATGACTCAAAATCGTTGTCAATGGCTTACGCAGATGTATTCAGTCTCTTTAATCTTTCATATTCCTTTCTACCATTACTGATTCTGTTTCACTCTTATACTTGTCAAAGCTCTATTGATTCTCTTGACTCATCTTCTTGTCTACCTTTGTGTGCTATTTGGAACGTGGCAACTTGAACTGCTGCACTTCGGTGCCAAATTCTATGTTGAATCCAGCAGCAGCAGCATTCTTCCAATGTAACTGCTCCCGCAGATACGTGTAAATTGGTATATACACTTGTAAGTAGCATATGAGAGGTAATTGTCGATCTCTGACTGCACCGACGAGGAGGATGTTCAGAGCCTAAAGACTAGTTTTGTTGCAGAATAGTTCCTGAACAAGGTTGCGCCTAATCTCTCATTTATGATTCTCATAGTATCATCGCGTTTGAAGTCAAGTTGTTTGAAAACTGGCATCTTACTGACCGTAGCTGCATCGTATTTCTTGCGTTCATTCTTGCCATATTTATTAATGGGGCAAGCAACATTAGTTCACTGTCTAATTTGTCAGGTGAACATATTCTTTTCGCTTTGGAGAAAAGCGTTTTCACCAGCGTTCGTTTGTAAACTGACTGGGCAGAAACTGTTAAAGTTTAGGTAGAGGCTGCTGCTCCATTTGTCCTTATGATATATCAATCTCTTGAGTATCATATCCTTTTTTCTCCCCCAGTTGATATCTAGGAAGTTGCATTTCTCAGCATTTTCGTGCTGCATCGTGAAAGTAGTGCTCTTATGCAATATTGTTGATTAGAGCCAATAGAGATGAAGCGTGAATCAAATCACTGCATACAACTGACTGACTGACTAACTGACTGGTTTCCACGTAGAACTTTGCACAGATGTGCAGCAGTTCGAGTTATCACACTCCGTGTAGCACACACAGCAAGAGAAGAGAGTAAAGAGAGATGATAAACAGAAGTGTGAGTGAGGGAAACAGAGTCGTGATATGGAAGAGCAATAGAGTTTTATTGGATTTGACAGATCACAAAGAGTGTATGCATCTGCGTCAACCATTGACAACGATTTTGAGTTATATCACCGATTGTCCCCAGCCATTGGTTTTTCACCATCCAGACAACACCAACCAAGAAATCTACACCTCCCTACGTGACTGGTTGGCTTAAACTAACTGTTGTGGGTTTCATTTACTGATTAAGCCATGTTTTCGCTTGACCGCCACTAGGTCTTTCCCAACCTGATCGTATGTCAGCTAACATTGACCGTCTTGAAAGCAGATGGCTAGGCATGAGTAACACATGTCCTGACTATCTCATTCGATGTAATTTCACTACCTCGTATATCAATTTCCCCTCCTCACCTAGCACTTGATCGATGCCTCACCTCAATATTGCTCACCTTATTATAACGCTTCACACGGCAGATAGAACGCAGACACCTATGACCAAAGACCACTGACCTTTTCTTATCTTGCACTTTCAATGTCCATGTCTCACTTACAGCCATAAAGGAAGACAGAGTGGGCAGTACACATGGCCTTTGGTCGACAGTCAGCCGGATATCACGTCTACTAATTCAGAGATGGTGTAAGTTGGCGTATGCCGACCGAGCCTTCTGTCTGCTAATACAGAACCCAATGGGACTCCCAAATACCACTCCATCAACTGGATATCCCTGGTACATATAACGCGAGAAGCTGCTTAAATGATTATTCTGCACTAATGTTCTTGTTCTTTCTCTGTTCAAATGTATAAAATGAAATTCTTGAAGAGACATCTCCCTGCTGAAGCATCTGTTTCTGATTGCTTGGAGTTTCCAATCAGCTATCCTATCATCAGTATACAGCCAGCGAAGGCAGTTGTTGATTAAAATCTGCGCTAGCCTTGTTGTGACGCGCGTATCAAGTCTTTAGACCACATGAAAATCCCTGACTTCTTATTTTTATTGAAAATTTCGGTATTGTTCTAACTGCTGACTGAGTACTGTTGTAGATCTTCATATTTAGAGTAGTGGTTGTCATATCTTGCTTCCTCCATCCGGTCTTTGATAAAAGCTCATCCGCGTTGTAGGATACATTAACTGGTTAGTGTATGTGTACTTTAGTTGGACTAGTGTAACGTGTCTAGTCCTTTGTTTGGTGTAGAATGAATTCTATCAGTCAGTCAAGTTTACTATGTGGTCAACATGCCCGTGGGTGGCAAGCTCGCCATCACGATGCACCCCACTGTGAACTATTGGCCAATTTTGAGTTTTCCTTTTGATTGATTTGAACCGAGATGTTCATCGTCCGTTGGACATATCGGCGTCTAGTAGTGAAGTGAAACTTCGGCAATGTCCAAGGATTAACATGAACAGAAGCTGAATATCTTGGTCGAATCAATCAAGGGGAAAATCGAAAATTGAATTAAAAATAAATAACCACTGTTGCCGATTGCACAGAAGGGGATGGCTCTCGTGGACCCCCTTCTCTCCAAGTAGTCTAATGGATAACGCCTTGTCGTGCCTGAAATGATGGGTGCTCTGGGTAGGAATCTCAATAGGAACACAATCATTCATTGTGAGGGAATGTTTGTATATACAATCCGCTGGTTGACGAGTCCCAACTAGAGGACGAAATGTGCGTCCTAATGCATTCTTTCACTGACATCTAGTTACCATCTAGTTAAAGCAATAAGAAGACGTAATTTGTCTGAATCGTGTACTGTTGTATTTGTGCAACATATTTCAAGCAATCTGATCACACACGGACTTGTCATAGGAATATGTGTATATATGAAATTAATAAAGAGTTAAGAGGTGTGAAAATAGACAAGTTAGATCAAGTTAAAAGGAGGACATTTTGAAGGTCAAAATAACAATGAAGACCACTAAACCAAGTAAGAGAGGTAATAGTACATCCTATACTGGTTGGTATCAAATCAAAGTTTACCAAGGAAGGTTTAATGTGATGACGAATTGTTTTTAAACGCATAAAGGTGGCTTAAACTTTCTAATTGCTATGGCTTCCACAAACTTTAGGATACGCCCCAAACACATTTTACAGATAGGTTTAGAAGATGTGTTAACGTTAATTTTATGTCCTGTCTCCTCTATAATATGTTTCTCAACAGAGGAGGTAGGTCTCCTGTTCTCGGCATTCATGGGTTCTGATGATTCTGTTTGTTTCTGGAGCTATTTGGGAATATGCTCTGAAGCCAGCCCTTACTTGCAGAGATCGATGAGTCCTCCCTCCTATGTATGTGTGTCCACACGTACATTCAAATTGGTAAATGCAGTGGGATTTGACATCATTTTTCGCATGTCCGAAGGACTTAGATAGATATATTGGCTTTACATTCTCAATTATTATTATGATAGTACCATCATCCCCAACGGGTTGATCTCTGACGAAATCTCAGCATGGATACAGAGGGCTAGTTCCGCAAATGCCAGTTTACGCCGTCTCTGGCATAGACGTGATATCCGGCTGACCATCGACCAAAGGGCGTGTGTACCGCTCATCAGTCCGCTCTGTCCTCCTTCATGACTGTGAGACCTGGCCATTGAGAGTGGAAGACATAAAAAAGCCTGACCTGCTGTCTTTGATCATAGATGCCTGCGTTCTGTCTCTCGTGTGAAGTGGTACAATTAGGTGAGGAATATTGAGGTTAAGCGTCGAGTGCTAGGTGAGTTGGAGGGGAAATCAATCGACGAGGCTGTGAAGTTATACCGATTGAGATGGTTAGGACAGGTGTTACGCATGCTAGTCTAGTCATCGCCTTCCTCGACGGGAAATGTTAGCTGATATAAGGCCAGGCTGGAAAAGAGCTAGCGGCCGTCAAATCAAAACATAACACCAGTCAATGAAATCCACAACAGTTAGTTTAAGCCAGCCACGTAGGAAGGTGTAGACTTCTTGACTGGTTGGTGTCCTCGGGACGGTAAAAACCAATGGCTGGAAACAATTGGTGACATGGCTCAAAATCGTTCTCAATGACTTGAGCAGATGCATCCACTCGTTGTGACTCATGATTTCCAATGAAACTATATTGTTCTTCGGTATTACTATTCCTTTGTCTTTCATCTGTGTTTACTGTCTCTGCTTTGTATTTCTTCTACTTTCTTCTCTTGCTTTGTGTGCTACATGGATTGTGGGGACTTGAACTGCCGCACATATGTGCAAAGTTCTATGTCGAAAACAGGCAGACAGATAGATGATATTGGCTGCATAAAAAAAGTCACCATCTATCAAAATTACTCTGAGTTTCAATAAAGCTTAAAAATTAGTTTAAAATTGATTAACTTTTAAATAAAAAAGAAACATATACTCTCATTTCATTAATTTATATTTATATTTGTATAGAATTCATGAAATTATGGCTGATTGTGATCCTACCGGTCGAGATTGTTACATTCTACCGCGTTTATCAATGACTGATGAAACTGTTGTCATGGTAACATCACCTAAAACGTCTGGAATGAATTCTTCGTCTTTTTCTTCTTCTTCTAACAATAATGTTCCTACTCACCACCAGCGTAGTTCATTGTGTACAATCTCTACAAATAGCCTTCATGATCCTTGTTAATAATAATATTAATGATAATAATATGATCTTTTGATTTTACTCCCTTCAGTGCAATCAAGTATATACACACACACACTCACACATACATAAATACTTACATACATACATACCTATATGCCTTTAGGTATGCCGCTGACTTGTAATTTGTGTGATTCCCCCAATTACTTCCGTGTATTCTATTAGTTCTTCAACTTCATATTTTAGTAGTATGTACATTTTCTTTTATTTTTATTTCCACTTTAGTCAGTTAGATAATAATAATATCTACAGATATTTCTCTATAATATGCATGTGTGATATATGTTCAGTGGTTTATTCTTCTCCCTCCCCCCCCCTCATTTTTGTTCTTCTCTTTGACTTGTTTCTATGGAAACGATATAGATTTTGTTTGTTTTCCTTTGAGGGGTTACCCTCTCTCTCTGTCTATCGATCTCAGATTCTTTTATTGTCACTATTCTCGTTGTTGTTGTTGGTATCGTCGCTGTTGTGGAGTTACTCGTCGTTGGTTTGTGATTGATTGATTGATAAGGCTGAAATCGTTTTTGTGAAATATGTCCTGCTGATGTTCCTGATGATGATGACATACCTTGTGGTCTTTGTATTACAGCGTTTTATGTTTTATTTGTGTGCATGGTATAAATACGAATAAATAAATACGATCGATTATCTTGTGAAATTGGCTTACTTTTAATGCTGTTTAACGTTCCCTATTCGTATACGGCTGCTAAGAGCTTAAGAGCCTGTTGTGTGTGTGTTTGTGTGTAGCCAAGAAGGGAGACAAGTCTTCCCGGTGATAATCACATAGGGATTCGCTTGACTAATATAGTATCTAAATAGCGAAACGAGTTTCTGAGGTCGGCAGCACGACTTCCCTGAGGTAGCCTGGCACAGCATACAGTTAGCTGCGGACACAGCCGTGAAAGCTGTCAATAAGCTAAAACCTAAAGTTAATAAAAGCCATTGGGTCTCTGCCGCCTCATCCGAACTGGTTGACGCAAAGAAGACTGATTCCAGCGAGCTCCGATTATGATGGGGAGCGAAAGGTACTTAAACGAAGACTAACAAAAAGTCTTCGCTAGGACCGTGAACACTGGTGGGCGACAAAAGCGAAAGAGATGGAAAAGGTATCGGCGATTGGCAACACCAGACAACTAACTATTCAGGCTTATCAGGGAAACAGGTGGCAAATGATAAGCGAAACAATCTCGGAGAAAAATGGCACCATAATTAGCTCATAGGATAGACGACTGGAACGCTGGAAAGAACACTGTGAGGAGCAGTTTAATTGGCCTACAGCCACACTTAACCTGCATAACATTCAACACCTCCCTGAATGGGATATAGACACAGGTCCTCCGTCCTTAACTGAGGTTACTAAAGCTGTCACTAATATGAAGCAAGGCAAAGCGGCGGGACCTGATGGAATGACTCCGGAGGTATTTAAGTACGGTGGAGACAGTTTACTATCTGCATTAACTGAGGTTCTAAGCAGCGTCTGGGAATCAGAGAAAGTCCCATCGGGTTGGTGTAAGTCACTGATCATCCCGATATACAAGAAGGGAGACAAGTCTTCTTGTGATGATCACAGAAGGATTAGCTAGACTAATATATTATCTAAAGTCCTAGGCTCAATAATATTGCGTAGACAAAGTGGTGTTCGGGATGCACAAACGCAAGAGAACCAGAAAGGCAGGCTTTAGACCAGGAAGAGGGTGTATTGATCATCATATCTTCACACTTCCACAGATTCTAGAAGATAGGCATTCTTACTGGCGTCCAACAATCATTATATTTATTGACCTAAAGGTGGTATTCGATTCTTTTGACTGAGAGGTACTCTGGCGATGTTTGGCTGTAAAGGGAATGTCGAGAAAATACATTGCACTGATCAAGGCACTCACTCTACTCGAACTCATGCAGCTAGCCAGGTGAGGGCTTACAGCGAGTTTTCATCTGAAGTGGTGACAACTAGTGATGTCCCCATTTCTATTCAATTTCATCATAGATGTACTAATGGACTTGACCCTAACTCACTTCAGAGACTCAGGGATTGACTTGCTACCAGGGAATAATCTCGTTGACTTAGAATATACAGACGATATAGTCCTAGGCGAGAACGCTGAAAAAGTGCAGAGTCTTCTAAACACCTTAAGCTGCAATCTACCAATGTTTGGCGTGCGATTCGCTCCTGCTGTCAAATGTAAGATGATGTTACAGGACTGGACTACACTGACTCCTAGTTTAGAAACAGGGAGTGAAGTGGTAGAGCACGTTGACAGCTTCACTTATTTGGGAAGTGGTATCAGGCAACGCCAGCTGGTTGATCTCTGATGAAATCTCAGTACGGATACAGAGGGCTAGTTTCGCATATGCCAGTTTACGCCGTCTCCGTCCTAGCAGACGTAATACCCGGCTGGCTGTCGACCAAAGGATGTTTGTACTGCTCATTAGTCCGCTCCGTCCTCCTTTAAGGTTGTGAGAGCTGGCGATTGAGAGTGGGAGACATGAAAAGCGTGGCTAGCTGTCTTTGATCATAGGTGTCTGCACTCTATCTCCCGTGTGAAGTCGTATAACAAGGTGAGAAATATTGAATTTAGGCGTCGAGTGCTAGGTAAGGAGGGGAAATCAGTCGACGAGACTGTGAAGTTACACTGACGGAGATGGTTAGGACATGTGTTACGTATGCCTAGTCATCGCCCTCCTCGACAATGGGCAATGTTAGCTGACATAGGGTCAGGCTGGTAAAGAGCCAGCGGCGGTCAAACCAAGACATGGCTTCATCATTCAATGAAATCTACAACAGTTAGTCTAAGCCACGTAGGAAGGTGTATACTTCCTGGTTAGGGTCCTCGGGATGGTAACAACCAATGAAGGCTGTAAACAATTTGTGATATGGCTCAAAATCGTTCTCAATGGCTGGTGCAGATGCATCCACTCCTTGTGACTTGTGATTTCCAATGAAACTATATTGTTCTTCGTTATTACTATTCTTCTGTTTACTGTCTCTGATATGCATTTTTTCTACTTTCTTCTCTTGCTTTGTGTGCTACATGGAGGGAGTGTGGCGACTTGAACAGCCGCACATCGGTGCAAAGTTGTATATCGAAAACAGACGGACAAACAGATGATATCAGCTGCATAAAAAAGGTCACCATCTATCAAAATTACTCTGAATTTCAATAAATTTTAAAAATTAGTTTAAAATTAATTAACTTTTGAATAAAAAAGAAACAAATATTCTCATTTCATTAATTATTTCTATTTGTATAGAATTCATGAAATTATGGCTGATTGTGATCCTACCGGTCGAGATTGTTACATTCTACCGAGTTTATCAATGACTGATGAAACTGTTGTCATGGTAACATCACCTACAACATCTGGAATGAATTCTTCGTCTTCTTTTTCTTCTTCTTCTAACAATAATGTTCCTACTCACCACCACCGTAGTTCATTGTGTACAATCTCTACGAATAGCCTTCATGATCCTTGTTAATAATAATAATAATAATATGATCTTTTATTTTACTTCCTTCAGTGCAATCAAGTATATATATACACACACACACTCAAACATACATGCTGACTTGTAATTTGTGTGATTCCCCCAATTACTTCCGTGTATCCTATTACTTCTTCAACTTCATATTTTAGTAGTATGTACATTTTCTCTTATTTTTCTTTCTACTTTAGTCAGTTAGATAATAATAGTAATATCTACAGATATTTCTCTATAATATGCATGTGTGATATATGTTCAGTGGTTTATTCTTCTCTCTCCCTCCCCCCCTCATTTTTGTTCTTCTCTTTGACTTATTTCTTTGAAAACGATATAGATTTTGTTTGTTTTCCTTTGAGGGGTTACCCTCTCTCTCTCCGTATCTCTCGATCTCAGATTCTTTTATTGTCACTATTCTCGTTGTTGCTGTTGTTGGTGGTGTCGTTGTTGTAGAGTTACTCGTCGTTGGTTTGTGATTGATTGATAAGGCTGAAATCGTTATTGTGAAATATGTCCTGCTGATGTCCCTGATGATGATGATGTTGATAACATAACTTGTAGTCTGTGTGTTACAGCGTTTTATGTTTTATTTGTGTGCATGGTATAAATACGAATAAATAAATACGATCGATCATCTTGTGAAATTGGCTTTCTTTTAATGCTGTTTAACGTTCCCTATTCGTATATGACTGCTTAGAGCTTAAGAGCCTGTTGTGTGTGTATGTGTATGTAAGCAATGCGTCACGGTCTCGAGTCCCATCACGATCTTCTTTATATCTGTGAGTGACACGGCTGTTGGAAATGGAAGATATGAAACGCTTGGTTATCTGTCTTTGATTATAGATATTTGTACGATAAGGTTGCCTGACCGATAGCTGCTACCTTGACGTGGTGGTCGGGCTTGCATATCGCAATGACCCAACGAGCTACACTGGCTGGAACTTATGTTCCTGCAGCTCCTACCATGCCAGAAAGGTTGTTTGGATAGCGGTTAGACAAAAAGCGGCTACCCAATCCAATACTATGATTCAAACAAATTCACAAAATATCATGCCGGATCGGTCGGGACCCGGATTAACAACGACCGCGCTTCCTGCTGCCATGTCACAGGGCAGAAGTGATAAATATGCTACTGAGACACACCAAACAAGAAAGAACAACCAAAAACAGGCCGCGTGTGACCGGTCTCGAGCAGTTGTCCCCTGGGTTCTGCGGTAACCCAACACTAACCTTTTCTCTATTTCAGGTACCCGAAGACTTAATCAACTTCCGCGGTGAGGGCAGCCGGGAAGTAACAACCGCCTACACACTTCCAAAAGCACATGAAGCTTACCTGAACATCACTCTCCCTTACTCACATCACCTTCCTTATCTTGCTTCTCTACTACAGTTAGCACTATTCTTCAGGCTAGTGAGTCATCTTCACTTCACTCTGCGACCACAAACAACGATGAGAGCCATAAAAGCACCACAGATAGCCTTTTAAAGCCGCATTGCCAACTTCATATAGGAGCTTTTAACGTCAGGACCCTCTGCCAAATCGGACAACAGGCATCACTAACAAGAACTCTGGAATCTAGAGCCATGGGTGTATGTTGTGTTTCGGAGACACGCATACAAGACCCGAGTGTGGTCATTCACTTGATCTCACCCGATCAACAAGGTGAATCTGCGAAATTCACTTTAAGGGTGTCAGCTAGCTCACGAGGACTCGCAGGTGTAGGGGTAGCACTGAGTGTTAGGGTGGAAAAATCACTTCTTGACTGGATCCCAGTAGATAGTCGTGTGTGTGCGGTCC